AAAAAAGAATTGCTTGATACCGTGTTAAAGCAAAAAAATCCCAAAGCTGCTGCTGATTTTTTCCATTCCCTCTATGTGAGTTCATATCAGGACTTTCCCCCAGCCGTAAATACATTTACAGCAAAACACTGAAAAAGTGTAAATAAATTTTTCTAAATTCAATTCTTTTCACTTGTTTTCACATATTTGGGTATTCATTTTATATCACTTTAAAATTCTTGGTTGTGTTAGAGTGAATTAAATATCAATTGATTTCATCTAGATTTAACCACAGTAAAGGTGACAAACGACATGTTCCTCAAAAATATATATTAAATATTATATTATGAAATACATAATTTCTCCCAAGAATTTGTTATTGTAGTCTAGGCCCTTAAATAAGGGTTCTATACCAGACATTTGGATAAGATACAAGGGTGATGTTTCTTATTTAACCCTTCTGGGTAATCTTCTGAATGGCCTATATCACAATTTTTGGTGAACTTATCCATGTTGTACTTGAAATAATTTAGAAAACAATGTAGAATTTAGAAATCAGATGAGATTGACTGACAATTAAGTATATATTTTTTTTTTTTTTTTATAAAATACCAAGTCTAGAAATACAAAACATATTCGTCTGACCTTTACAACTTACTATAGAAATTCAAAGACTGACTTTATGACATCAATACTAAAATTCTTTGTATTATCAAAGACGGTATATAAATACCTACCCCTTCACGAAGGTATAGAACATCCGGCAACTCTTCAACCTTTACTTTTGTGGAGAGTTGCCTAACTCATATATGTGGGGGCAGCCTTTATCCTTGCACATTGTTGGAGCATAACACTCCAGGTGAAACACAGGGGGTAGAATTTCAGGATCTATTTCTTGAACTATCCAGCTGTATACACTCTAAGAAATAATAGTGACATAATATTAGGTGTTTCATAACTTGCATTTAACTAGAGCAATTTAAGTAACTCATAAAATTAAGTTCTTCATTACCTGCACATATATTTTATAAATGTACATGTATATGAAAATAAGAGGCTCACAGGCCTTTAGGTCACCTTAGTATCATAATTAGTAACTTTCCAAAAATTGAATTTGGTTTGCGTTTTATCCTAGAGGCCATAAACTTCACAATTTAGGTAGATGATTTAATGCAATATACATGTAACAATCATGCTTACAGTCTGTCTTTTTCATGTCCAGGAGTAAAGAATAAGATTTTTTAAAAGATTGTATTAATTCTAGTGGATTTACCCTCACATCTCAGGCCAAAGTTGTGCAAGGGTCATGAATTTAAAAATTTATGTTCCCCTTCACCAATGATGCCAAAATTGTTTGAAATTGGTATAACTGAAGCTGTAATGTACAAATGTTAACACACAACACATCTCACATGATGACAATACAGTAAAACTCGTTTAGTACAAACACGTATATAGCGAATTCACGGATATAGAAAAGTTTTTCCGGGTCCCCGGCAAAATTTTTAACAAATCTTTGTTAAATTTTACGGTTATAACTAACTGATATAACAAATTTACAGATATAGCGAACTGATTTTGGTTCCAGTCTAAATTTAAATATAATGAAATTTACATCTTTTATAATGAACTTTCTATGATCTCAAAATTTGATAAATTGAACTAACTTATTTTTGTTCATGGAATTGTCTATATAATTCAATTCACAATAAAACCTTAGTTATCGACGGTATGTTTCGTAATAATTACTTTCCTAACATATCTGGTAGTAATACTTGAAGGAAAAAATGTATATTGCAAATTCACTTTATATGGTTTTACGAATTCGTTATACGGATATAATGAATTACGGATATAATGAATTAAATTCACAGGTCCTAGGACTTTGTTATAACTGAGTTTTCTGTACAAGAATATCAATAAGTCACATGAGTTTCTCAGGTTACCTTGTAAAAATTATGTTTAAAAAAATCTTGTTTGGTAGCTGATGCATACAATTTAGTTTGAATTTTGTTATACTTTTCATCACTTAAATGTTCAATAAAATAGTATCTCCTTCATAAACTTCTCCTTACCTTGACTGTGTCACCATGCTTAAAAGGCCTATTTATGGCAATACCCCCATGGCTTTCATACACGACACAAAGCAATTTTTGTGCATCTCCTTTGGATGGAAACTCTATGAAGGTGTTTTCTGCAAACTAAAACATAGGTAATCAGAGATTACAGAGCTCACCTCAACGTGTCTTGTCTTTGAGTAAGGCAAATTAAGTCAGCCACAATTAACCAGTAAAAAGTGTACATCCAAAAATACAAAATTTATGCAATTTTGATACTTTGGAATAGACCTATATAAAAACTAAAAACTAGTTCTTCATCATGAAAATGTAATTAAAATCCAGCATCTGAAGCAAGATTGAGAGTTTTCATCTCTTGATGCATCATTTAGGCAACTGGTTTATATAAGCCTTATAGTTTCTTGGTGATAGACTTGCACCCATAACTTTTACGAGGTCTATTATCTGGAAAATGTATGTCGAATTCAGCAATCCATGTAAGTTTGGTCGTTATAGTAGGAAATCAAAATTGCAGTTCTTTAAAACTTATAGGTATCGGCAGTAAATAACGCTCTGCAAAAAAAATCAACCCCCACTCCTACAATCTCCCCTGGTATTTCTATATTCTCTGTAATATTCCTACATTCCATCATCTATTTCAAATATTAATATTTTTACTTTAAAATGAAAAACATTACATACCTCATTTCAGCCAATCAGGTAATGCCGACCTATTCAGTACTCAACTCTACATTGTGCCACAAACAATGCCATGTGCTCATCCGGGGATTTGGTACTCTCATTCCTATACTTACATATTTACCTCTCCCAGAATTAGTCAATTTTGTAATTTTCAAAGACTTTATACTTACCAATGAATATGTATAAAATTTTAGGCCTGTCACTTCAGTGTCTTGGAAGCTGTGACAGTCTTAATTAATGACACCTCCCTCCATTAAGTGGAATTCCAGGGAGTGAGAAACTGTCATTCCTTTGATGTGACCTGGATACAGTTGTGACTGTAATGAATAAAACATTTATAAATTGCATGATTTTGTTTTTTATTGTCAATAAAATGATATAAAGTCACATTTGTGTCATTTTTTTCATAAGGGTGGATTCTACCCAGAATTTAAAAAAGGCTCCAAAATTTGATAAAATATAGCTAATTAAGCAAAATTGAAAGGCTTTAAAAAGACTAATTCAGAATTTTTTTTATGCTTATGAGAAGTAAATTATTTGAGACTCTGATATACTAATTGATTCTTATCTAACCCCTCATGTTGCTTAAGTATATGCAAAAAAGTATCACCACCCCCCAGTGAAAAACACTTAGAGAAATAGCAGGTGCCCCCTATTATATTTGTTTACAATAAATTTAAATGAGAGAAAATCAATCCTTTTGATAATAAATGAAAGTTCAGTATCTACAGTCTTATACAGTACAATCTTAATCTTCAGGATAGAGTTTTATGCATAGAAAAGGGGAATTTAGATCAATTTTTCAAAAATAAGAAATGCAATAATTTTGACTTTAAACCCCAAAATGCACAACATAATAAGAGGCTGGAAAGTTAAAAAGAGGAAAATTTACCTGCTATGTACAGAAAACTGTCCGACAAAATATATCGGGTGGGTAGCGAGTCTCCATCTTCTTCTTGTATAGAGAAAATGCCCCCGCTGAGCAGGTACCCAACTCTCCCGGGGCCGAGGAAGCTGAAAGATGAAAGTCCTCTACAGTGCTAAAAACAAAATAAATCAGAAAAATTAGTCAAATCACATCTTAAGCATTTATTTAACAGCAATATTTTTCAGGTTTTCTAGAAAATAAAAAAATTACACACCTTCTACATTGTTTATTGTTTTAAAAATGTACCCCCAAAGGGTGGGGTACATGTTACACAATATTACATGTAATTACATGTAAATACAAAAAGGCCTAATCTTATACATGCATTTTTGAGTCATTCCAATAATTCCTGGAAAAAATCAGAAGTCTAGGTTCTCTACAATAAAGATTTTATGATGTTGAAATTCTACATGCCTGGTTTGTAAGTCTAAGGGAAGTAACTCTAATTACAAAAACTGGAAAGCAGTAAAAATGAGTTGCCGAGGGCTACGCTGATGAAAAAACAAGCAGCAAGAAAGGAAAAATACAGACCTAAGTGTAGCTACACCAAAGAAACAACTTCACTACAAATTCAGTACCCTGCAGTCCAAGTAAAGCAATCCAGAGAATCACACGCACTACCAGCCATAAGATGTCAAGAGAGAAAAGTGTGCAACTTTGACATGACCACTATAGAATGCCCTTTTTAGGTTCACCAGAACTATTTGAAAAGATACCGTATGCAACTGTTAAAGAAATGAAATGAAATGAACACCAGGTCACAGCCCCTACAATGCCATACATGTACATATATATAGAACACAACACATAAATACACACATGTAAATACATATAATATTAATGTACATGCATATATTTATACAAACTTACTTACACATAAATATTCATCATAAGAGCAATCTGATGCACTTTATTAACTTACTCCCCTCCTCGGATAATATCAAATGCACCACGCTATACTAATATCTACATTCTACTCACTACCCCCCCCCCCCCCCCTTACCGAGAACAGAATATTCCTCCAAAATCTCAACACATGAAAAACAATTCCATTTTTTTTGCTATTTACCTCTCAGTGTGTCATCAATATTCGGATTAAGAGCAAAAAATCACTTTTCATGACTTTAAATTCACTTAACATTTTAAAAATTTGGGTCTCTATAGGGAAAAGAGTACCAATTATTTTCCCATAGAACTCTATACAAACATTTTGTCCTCTCACTACTATACTAATTTAATTTCAGATTATTCCTTGGCATCGTTTGAAACTTTAATCCAAGCGCTTATAAAAAATCCCGGAAAAAATATAGGGTCCCATGGCGTTTATAGGTCAAAATTGCAGTTCTTTAAAACTTATAGGTATCGGCAGTAAATAACGCTCTGCAAAAAAAATCAACCCCCACTCCTACAATCTCCCCTGGTATTTCTATATTCTCTGTAATATTCCTACATTCCATCATCTATTTCAAATATTAATATTTTTACTTTAAAATGAAAAACATTACATACCTCATTTCAGCCAATCAGGTAATGCCGACCTATTCAGTACTCGACTCTACATTGTGCCACAAACAACGCCATGTGCTCATCCGGGGATTTGGTACTCTCATTCCTATACTTACATATTTACCTCTCCCAGAATTAGTCAATTTTGTAATTTTCAAAGAGTTTATACTTACCAATGAATATGTATAAAATTTTAGGCCTGTCACTTCAGTGTCTTGGAAGCTGTGACAGTCTTAATTAATGACACCTCCCTCCATTAAGTGGAATTCCAGGGAGTGAGAAACTGTCATTCCTTTGATGTGACCTGGATACAGTTGTGACTGTAATGAATAAAACATTTATAAATTGCATGATTTTGTTTTTTATTGTCAATAAAATGATATAAAGTCACATTTGTGTCATTTTTTTCATAAGGGTGGATTCTACCCAGAATTTAAAAAAGGCTCCAAAATTTGATAAAATATAGCTAATTAAGCAAAATTGAAAGGCTTTAAAAAGACTAATTCAGAATTTTTTTTATGCTTATGAGAAGTAAATTATTTGAGACTCTGATATACTAATTGATTCTTATAAAAGTATCACCACCCCCCAGTGAAAGACACTTAGAGAAATAGCAGGTGCCCCCTATTATATTTGTTTACAATAAATTTAAATGAGAGAAAATCAATCCTTTTGATAATAAATGAAAGTTCAGTATCTACAGTCTTATACAGTACAATCTTAATCTACAGGATGGAGTTTTATGCATAGAAAAGGGGAATTTAGATCAATTTTTCAAAAATAAGAAATGCAATAATTTTGACTTTAAACCCCAAAATGCACAACATAATAAGAGGCTGGAAAGTTAAAAAGTGGAAAATTTACCTGCTATGTACAAAAAACTGTCCGACAAGATATATCGGGTAGGGCTGCACCTCCATCTTCTTCTTGTATAGAATGCCCCCGCTGAGCAGGTACCCAACTCTCCTGGGGCCGAGGAAGCTGAAAGATGAAAGTCCTCTATAGTGCTAAACAAAATAAATCAGAAAAATTAG